AATATTAAGTTCAAGTAAATTTTTTGTAATCCTCCTAAACCAGATTTACACAAATTTATCTTTAGCTCAGCAAATCAAGAATAACATGATTGATTTAGACTTATGATTGAGATAATTAGATGTATAATTACTTTTTGTACTCTTATTCATATTTTAGCTTTCTGACAATTATTTACAATAAGACAATAAACCCTTATAGTAGATGTGGAGAGTAGACAGCATAATGATTAAATAATTAATATAAACCTTTTGATTTATATTCTACTCATCTTCTAATTATTATAAATAGATTTAAATTTTTTTAATAATTTCCAACATCCCATAGATAACAATTGTTAGCATATTAACATTGAAACATTATTAATAATAATTTTTAAATTCAAATAAATATGTATTTTCATTTGAAAACTTTATTTAATATTTCTACTTTACATCTACCCCAGAGATGTACACATGGATACAAATCTTTAGATGTATCAATATTCAAAGTCTATTAATAAATAAAAATTGATACAAATGATTGATTTGTGGATGATTTTGTCCATTTCACGTACTTCTTTTGAATATCCACTTCAACGATTATAATATCATTTGTTGAAAATGGAAATGCTATTTATTTACCATTTTTATCTGATTAATCATGATTCCAACAATAACCATTGAATTAAATATTATATGTTCTATTTTGATTCTATTAACATCATAAATATACCCTCTTCCGATATTATAACAATCATTGTAACTCTTACTCTAAACAATATCCCTAAAACCAATTCCTATCATAATGTCAGCAATTTCAATAATTTTGATAGCAAATTAGATCACACCATTCTTAGGGATCATTTAATCACACATACAGCAATAATAACCACCAGAGCTATTCTCAATAACTTTTCCATTTTAAGTTACTGAACCTTAAATATGTTTATAAGTAGTTGAGAATGTAAGTGATTAAGAGAATTACTAATCCTACTTCAAATAAAGCCTTTACTTATACCAAAGTTTGTTATAATTATTTAAGCATTTCATTATTCTTCTGATTTTATTGTTAGCAAATCTACAATTCTGCTTACTTCTCCTTAACAATAACTTCACATTAAGTTTCTATAAGAGTTTGAATACAATTAAATTTTACTTTATTATTCTAGTTCTTTTACTTTAATTGAATAACCTTCATTTTATTTCTTTAAATCTTATATTAACTTTTTTTATTCTGCATCATTTTTCTTAAAGTCATTAATAACTTATTGATTCCCTAAATTATTCTTTTCACTTTCTGTGAGTTGATTTTATAGCAATTCCTTTTATTGCTTATACAATTTCAACTCAGCTTCAATTTAATCAAACTAAGTGAATTTTTACATTAGAGATAAATCTTTCTCAAAATTCGATACATATTGTTTAAACTTATTAATACGAATAGAGTTGTACTTGCTATAATTATATATCTTTGAATTCATTAGACAAACTACTTATTGTTTGCATGATTAAATTATACTTATTTAAGGCTTCATTCAAGATATCCTAATATAATTTAAAATGTTGTAATTATAAGTTAAGTTACTTCATCTATAGATGATTTGAAATTGGATTATCATCTTGCTAAATATCATTTTTCTATTCCTTAACATTTGATATATTGATACTTGACTCCTTGAAGATTTGATTAATCTTTTCAGTTGCAATTAAATCATTTTATAATAATTTTCCAAAATTAGTTGATAT